CTAACAAGCTTGGAAACAGGAAATTCACTGAATTTATCTATTACCCCATCTATAAAAGGAGAAATTGGATCATATTTTTCTGGTAAAGAATTTTCAAAATCTGGAAGTATATGAATCTTTCATTTCAGTTTTATCCTAAAATCGGTCTCACTTCTCCCATACATTGGCCCTAGGATAGCTGCATGCTGATATGTCCTTGTGAAGTTTTTTGTTTTTTCCTAAATTTGCTTCTTACTTGTTTGTGTACTCCCTGAGGGATTTTGTATTTGCTCTTGTTATTATTGATTTTTTTTTTAAGAATCTCAGTTCATGGGCCTAAGTCTTAAGTTTGTATGAGGAGGTTGCATTGTTCTGTATTTCTCTGGCAACTTTCTATAACACAAAAATAAAACTATTACTATAACAGTATATACTCATGGTGAAATCTAAGTTTATTTTAAGAATCTTTCTATTCTTTTCAAATACTGAGAATGCGCATTTTATATGAATTTAAGACAGTCATATGTAAATAACTTGTTTGGAAATCCTGTTATTCTTCATAGATATCCATGAAGATACCCTGCCTTTTTAATCTAGAGAGCAAACCCACAAAGACTAGTAGGTCAACTGCATTTATTTATGTATTTCTAGATCTAAATACTTTTTGTACTAATTTATGAAAACAAGATAAGCACTGAAGCAAAAATTGGAATGAGAAAGTTAAATCACTTATTGTTCAGGAATAATGATTATAGTTATTCATAAAAGAGATTTATTTTTGCTCCCACTTAAGATTGCTCTTAATGATAATATTTTAGCAATTAATGTGTTTAAATGTTGTCATTATTTCTAAATATCTTTCTTAAATACTTTAAAATATAGAAATCAAAGGTCTGACTCTAATTCATTTTGTTTCAATAGTTGTTTTGATGACTGTTGTGGATAAAAAAGGTATATAAATTCAAATTTAGAAGTTCATTATTGGCTGTTGTTTACTGAACCATCATGACAATTTTTAAAACACATCCACCAATTTTAGATATTTATCTTCATGTGCTAGATGTTTAATTTTCCAAACAGCTCACTATTTGCAATGGCCTTATGCCATCATTAACCAGTATTTCAAGGTACAACATGTGCTTAGGATAAAGCTCATCCTTAAACAGTGAATGTGAACCCGTATTTTAAGTAGCCTAAATGATAATTATAAATTTGCTTTGGCAAATTTTGTTTTAGAGTTCATTCGTTCATCGTTTTTTATGTGGCAAGTGAAGAGCTCATATTAGGCACAGAACAGATAACCCTTTTTCTTTTCTTTTTTTTAAAGATTCCGTTTTTATTTATTTTTATTTTTTTAAATATATCTTTATTGATTTCAGAGAGAGGAAAGGAGAGAGAGAGAGAGATAGAAACATCAATGATGAGAGAGTCATTGATCGGCTGCAGCCCGCAACCCGGGCATGTGCCCTGACCAGGAATCGAACCCTGATTCCCTGGATCCTAGGTTGACGCTCAACCGCTGAGCCACGCCCGGCCGGGCGATAACCCTTTTTCTAGTTGTCCACTTACGCTTATGTAATTACTAGTGTTTTGTTCAGTCCAAGGTGTCATTTACAATACTCTTTTGAAGCCATTTGTCTATTTTCATTAGAGGGAGTTTAATCAGAACTAGATGTTTATAACTTAAAAATTCAATTAAGTATAAGTCTCAGTGCACTGAGAACAAATGAATGAGGCATCACTGGACTGTTCCCTGTGAGGCTCCTTTTCTTCCCATAGGCTGCCTCACATGAGCATCATCCACGTGTGGACATGGTGGGAATGCTGACATCATTCCATATATTGTCTATTAGCAAAGCTTTATTTACCTCTTATATTTAGATAATTCTATGTACAGATAAAGATTCTCACATTTTCTTCCTACAGTCAAATGGATGTACACACCCCACGTGGTGAACCATTGCTCTAAGCTGATAATCCTGCTTCAGCTCACAGGCTTTCTCTTCATTTAGGTACAATACACTCGATTACAGTTATTTTTACTAAGTTATAAGCACCCTGCCTCAATTTGACAATATCTTGTGATTTTGACAATATCTTGTTATTTTGAAGATGCACACACAATACATTCCAGTAATCCCCCTTATAATTTATTCTAGAGCGGTAGGGTGCGTACTAGGCCCCATGGGCCAAATCCTGTCAGCTGCCTGTGTTTGTGAACCAAGACGTGTGGCCACAAACCACTCTCACGCATTTATGTATTGCCTGCGGGGGCTTTCAGACAATAGCGGAATTGAAGAGTTGTGATACTGACCATATGGCCTGCGAAGCCTAAAATGTTTACTAACTGGCCCGTTATGGAAAAAGTTTGCTGACCTCTGTCTGGACTAACTCTCAGGCCTCTGCACTAAAAGCTCTGTGTAACCATTTTATAGCTGCATTGCTTACAATAGCGACAAGCTGGAAACAGACAAAATGTATCAGAGCAAGTAGAAAAAAACTGATATTGTGAAATATTCTTAGGAGGTAATGCTACGTAGCAGTGAAAATGAATCTAGGTATGAGATGTATTGCCATGAATAAATCTCAACTATGCAACTGAAAAAAGTGTCAGAAAAATATACACAGCATGGTCCCATTTCTATAAATGTCAAAAATGTGACACACAGCACATGGATTTGTAGAGGAAATGTGTAAAGGCATGTATGGGTATGATGCACACCAAATTCAAGAAAATTATTTCCTCAGAGAGAGGGGAGTGTGGTTGAAATGCAGTCAGCAGGAGAGGGAAGGCTTCAGTAATATCTGTGATGACACTTCCGCTGCTGATAGTTAAAAGGTGTTTGTCATGTTCTTTATACTCATATGTCTCAAGGCAAAGCAAACTAATGTACAAATTAAAGCCTTGGCCCCTTTCTTGAAGATTTGCAAGCTAGTTGGGAAGCAGAGGAACAAATGCACAGCTGAAGTGTGTGATCTTGCAGGAATGGAATGCTTTGTGGGAAATACAGACAGAGACATGGCCATGGGTGTTCCAGGCATTCAGGGGACTGGGAGTGTGGTTGTGAGCAGAGCTCTTGACTCAGGAGGGTAGGGAACTTGCTCTATTTGAGGAATGTCAAGAGTGAGGATCATTAGAGTTACCTAGAGAACAGCATGACTGTGCCTGGTGAAAGTGGAAGAAAAAGGCCCCCATCGTGCTGGGTAGGTTGGCATGGTACAAGTTGGGACACTGAGAATGCTCAAAAACAAATGGTGTTCCTGAAAACATATTTTTTTAAAAGATCACCTAAAATTTACTGTTTGGAAACCTTATGTATCTACTATGTGATATGTCTGTAGGAAATGATTGCCATAGCGATAGCTTTTAAAACCAGTAAAACATACCATAATTTTACAGAAATGGAGAAATGGAATTTGAAATTTTATAAAAAGTTGTTAAATACATTCGGCTTGCCTGGAAAGGTAAATGCCGTAGGGATTCACATTCAGTGTGAATTTGAGGGAACCACAGATGGAAAGAAACACGTGCATAAAACCTTATCATATACAAAAACTAATTTCTTAATCTCACTTTTTGTTGTTGATCATTGAATTTCATCTATACGGAATTAAATCTTTAAAACAATGACTAAACCGTGGAGAGAGAGGGTAGGTTTGAGGATGAATTTCCCTTTTTTAAAACACATTTTTATTGATTTTAGAGAGAGGAAGGGACAGGGGGAGAGAGAAACATCCATTGGTTGCCTTCTGTGCACACCCCAACCAGGCACCAAACCCACAGCCTGGGCATGTGCCCCGACGGGAATCGAACCAGTGACCTTTCGGTGCACAGGATGCCGCTCAGCCAGCTGAGCCACCCCGGCCAGGGCTAACCTGCCCTTCACTATACACACAGTGTTAATTGAGTGAAATCGCCAATTGCTGAAGCACTTGTTTTCTAACGTGTGATAACTGGGACATTGTACTCAAAGGACACTTTCTGAATTTCCAATCTCAAGTGTGTAAATAAAAATTTTAATTATCATGTGAGTATTTGCAAAAACATTCATGGGCAAAAATTTGAACATCCAATAGAGTGTCAGTTTTAATCACAGTTGTGAATTGTATATCTCATCTAAAATGTATGCATTCTCTTATGTTAAGGAAGAGAGAGAGAGAAAGTGAAAGGAGGGAAGGGGGAGGAAGAGGGAGGGGGCGATGACAGAGACAAGACTGGGAAGAGAGAAGGGGCCTGGGGGAGGGGGGGAGAGAGAGAGAGATCCAGCTAAAAAAGGTATTGGAGAATGATAATAAAGGAATTGATCACACACTGATCTGTATGAATATTTAATATTACGTTTTAACCTGAAGGAGTTTGTTTATAAAATATTTGTGTTGTCAAATGCAATAACTAATAACTTGTCAAAGTTCTTCTATTTTAACTAAGTTCATAAAATAAACTTTATTAAAATCATTGTGATCCCCTACTACATTCTTGCCAACAGTGATATCTCACCATTTATTTTAGTATTTTATAAAATAAGATATTCTACAGTTTCTTTGGCAACAGAGATGATGACTCACACAGATCTGACAGTATGTTTAATACTTGTTTCTTTTTTCTTCTTTTTCTGCTACTGAGAAGGCTCCCTGCTATTTCTTTCTTAAGATAAATGACAAAGCAGTCCACCCAGAACCCTGCCCCGAGCATGCCCCTCTCCGAGTAGTTCTAAATTATAGAGTGAAGTAAAGCAGTTTGAACTGAGACCTTGTTCGACTGAAAAAGACCAGATAAAGTAAATTTATATTTTGTTTTTTATTTTAATATGTAGCTAATTGTGTAAATACAAATGCTTTATCCCATTGTTAGTGGCAAAATTTATTGATAAGAGAAAGGAATGATCTTTCTGATTCAAAATTTACTTCTTTCAATACTGTATAGCTTTCTCTCTTTTGAAACTACAGGATTTGTTGGAGTTTTGTAGTCCTCGTATGTAAAACATTTATTATTTTCAAAAGAATGTTATTTTATATTTCAGGAATATACAATAGATGTTTTCTTTCGACAAAAATGGAAAGATGAAAGGTTAAAATTTAAAGGTCCTATGAACATCCTTCGACTTAACAATTTAATGGCTAGCAAAATCTGGACTCCAGACACCTTCTTTCACAATGGGAAAAAATCAGTAGCTCATAACATGACAATGCCCAATAAACTCCTTAGGATCCAGGATGATGGGACGCTGCTGTACACAATGAGGTATGTTGTAGGTTTGCTACGACGCGTTTAAATACTGAGTAATTCATGCATTGAAAACCTGGCTAATGTAGTTTTCAAGCATTAGCACAAGTTGAATATTTTCATAACAGATTATGTTGTACCTATAATATGCTTTGTAATTGCATGCATGTTAAAAAAAGTAAAGATCAAATAATATTTGTGAGTTTGAGTCTCATCTCAGTGTATAAAAATTTAAGAAGTCTTTACTACTAAGAATTAGTTTTTTGGCTATTTATTTTTCACACTTCATTTTAATTAAGTACAGTAGCATGGCTTCAATTTTTCTTTATACCAGCATGTAATTTTATTTTTAATATCTCATTAGATCGCCCATCAAAAATGTAAGTGATTTTTAAGCAAGCTTTTACTTCGTTTAATATTTTGTTCCTCCTTATGAAGTTACTCTAAAGAAAAAATATTTTTTAAACTCAGAGTTAGTTTTTATTTAATAAGGCTTACAAGTGTATTGGATGCCATAAGCATATGTACTAGATTGAACCATATGAAATTGCCACTTTGTAAATCAAAAGTGTGATGTAACATCCATTTCATTGACTCAAACCTTTAAAAAATTAGCTAAAGAAATATACAGTTGTTCACACCACTATTCTATATTAACTATTCCCATGAATTCATCTTTTAAAATGTTATTGGTATTATGTAGAAAAGAAAATCACCACCAATCTAATAAAGTGATATATAATCTAAAGTTAAAATGTTTAATAAAGGCTCTAAAGCATGGGTAGCTTTCAGCAGCATTATATAGAGACAGAAGTGTATTTCATGCATTCGATGCTTTTATTATTTCATATGAAATGTTAAGTGGTAGATTTCAATTGTGAAAATTATTTAAGAAATGGCATCAATGCAGTACTGATCTTTAAAGAAAAAACTCTTGAGGGCTCATTACTAAATGACCATTATAAAAAATGAGAGTGTTACCTATTTTTTCTGCCTTTATCTCTGAATCTTGCAAAACAGAGGCAGTGCCCCTAATGTTTTATACACTTTGATCATTCCTATGGATTAAGACAATAATTGGAAACCTGGGGTTGAAACAAAATCTAGGCAGATAACACACATAGTTTTGGAAAAAAATGCATGAGGTGCTCCTTCAGTACTCTCTTAGAAGTAGATAATCTATAATTAAATTGTTGGCCACATTTGTTTTGTTCATTATAAGAGATTTTTCTATATGTTTGATTTAGTACCTGTTTTATCTACTTTACCTTTGTGTGAAATGGAGTAACTTTCTTATAAATTTGCTGATTACTCTTTATTGTGATCATGAAGATACAGAAAAATATTTATATAACATTCATAATTTAGCCAACAATCTACTCTCAACAAGATATTTTTAGGAATTACATCTATATGTATATCTATACCTATTTCTATATTTATATTCATGTGTCTACATATGATACTGATTCAAAGTTTTCATATCCTTGAAGGAAGCTTCTGTGAGCCAGTATTGAATTCTTTTGTCAATTTTGTTACATGGTTGTTGATGAGATGATGGGGGAGAAAATTACATTCTTTTCATTATAGAGATTTTTTCATTTTTTTCTCTAATATTTCAAATAGGAATAGTGAGGTTAATGGGAAATAACCCTTCAAAATGTATATATAACTTATTTTTTAAAAATATGTGTTTTTATTGATTTTAGAGAGAGGAAGGGAGAGGGAGAGAAACATCGATCGACTGCCTCCTGCACGCGCCCTACTGGGGGTCAAGCCTGAAACCTGGGCGTTTGCCCCCCCGGGAATCAAACCCGCGACCTCTTGTTGCATGAGATGATTCTCAGTAAACTGAGCCACGGCTGCCCGGGCATATGTAACTTCTTTACTTTTTAACAAACCACAGAGTAAAAAACTGTTAAATATATTTGTAAATAAGTATTACTGTCACTTGAGCTCAGATTTTATATATGCTAATGTCTTCTAAAGGATGCTCTAAATGTGAAAGAACAGAATCAGTGTTGAATGTTAATTAACCTAAGATGCTCTAATGAAAGTCCTACCTCATCATTAATTTTGTTGACAACAGTAAGGAGTGATGTATCCTGACTTGCCAATTTACTTAAATGAAGAGTGGGATTTTGACTTTTAGGCTTACAGTTCAAGCTGAATGTCCAATGCACTTGGAGGATTTTCCAATGGATGCTCACTCATGTCCTCTGAAATTTGGCAGCTGTAAGTATGGGGATGGAGTTACATGTTTTGGGTCAAAAATATCAAGGATAGTCAGCAGTACTGCTTAATGTTACAGTTTTTTCTCATATTATTAAATGCTTAATACTTGCTCAGTAAGATACAGAAGTAAAAGACATGCTGATTTCCATCACAGCACTAATTGGCTAACCCTATTATACTCTCAGATATCATTATATTTAAATCATGGTGTTTACATTATCACTTACATTATTGCTAATAAAAAACAGTATGTGTTTTTGTAAATGTATAAACTAAACCTCATTGAAGGTTAAGACTGTCATTTACCTTGTTTGCCAAGTGCTAGCACTTTAAACATGCAAAATGAACATTTCTCTTTTGTCAACTAAGAATGAATTGTGAAGGATAGATTCTATTATTTATTGAAGTAGCTATCAGCCTGTTGCAAATGGCAGGCACAGATGCTGGATCTGTGCAATTTTCTTTCTACTTTCTAACTAATGGAAGCTTTTTTTTCTTTCTTAATTTCCTAAAATAAATTTGAAGGAGATAATGTAGCTGGATTGCTGCACGAAGGCACCTCTGTGTTCATAGAATATTTCAGAAATGGCTCTGCGCATTTGGCGTTCTTTAGGTCGTTGAGGTTATATCTTGTATGTCAAGCAAAAGCATTCGCTCGCCCGGAATAATTGAAAAGAAGGAAGGTCAAGTCATCTCCCCAGGCCCACAAGGCATTCAGGGCAGCTTCAGGATAAATTCATGGACACTGCTAAAGAGCTCCTTTCTTGTGCGAACGTGTCCCATTGCCTGACCTTTTCAGAAACCTTGCTCTTTCGGGTACCCCCATCTTTGGCCATTCGGGCAGCTTTTGACTTTTCCTTCTCTTGAATAGAAATGCGGTTCTTTAGCCTGATTTAAAATATTTCTTACTGAGTAGTGTGCCTTCTCCCCACAGACTGTATCAAGTGAAAGAAAAGGGAGGAGTGATGGCATCTAGGATGCAAAGTCCTAGTTATTTTGATGGCCATAGCTTTGTGGAATGAGAAGTTCAATCTTGTTTTTTTTCTGTCCATTCTTACAGAAAGTGTCAGCTCTCAATTTTCTTTGAGAATCTCTTCTTTGTTTAACTACAAAGCCTTCTTTTATTGTCATGGAAACCGCCACTTCAATCCTGGCATTTCTCCCAAAATTATTTAAGATAGTCAATCATGTTACACAACGTAAATATGATGTTGAAAAAACTCAACAGATGCGGCAGAGAAAAACTCATTTGCATTGCCTAAGTGGCATTAAGAAGAAAATTGAAAAAGGCCTTGATACCAAAGAAAGGATTTGTTCACGATGCAGTAATGGTGTAGGAAGGAAAGGCATTTTCCAGTGGACAAGTTAGAGCTATTAAGACACCAAATATAAATGGGGTGATGTTACCACTGAATCTGAAATAAATATACCTGAAATTACTTTAAATGGAAATAACAAATTCTTCATAGTGTGTCTACAGAGTAGTGGAATATTGCATGCTTGAAAATGTGGCTGTCTGTATCTAGAAGTGTAATGGGTAAAACATAAAGTTTGTTGTTAGGCATTCTCTGTTTAATTGATTTTTATGTGGTTTTCTCTGTGTTTGTTTTTTGACACATTAAATAAACATCTTATGTAGTCTTTAATATGTCCTTGCCAACAGCACCTGCTTGATGCATCAATATTGAAAGAATGAGCCCCAGAATGTAGTCAGACTCACAAGCCAACCTGAACCTTCAGATGTGGGCACAACAAAGACGGCCAGAGCAGTCATGCCCTTTCCTTCCGTCCACTTATTCCTGTCTTGCTTAAAAGTCCCTTTTTTTCCCCCCAAACTGGTGGAATTTCTGGAACTTTATCATTGTCCTGAAATAAAAGAAGCATCTTTTTTAGAAGTTTATCATTTTGAATTCAGCCTTTTTTCTTTTGTTCCTATGGCCTCACACTTCTATATATTTCCTTGCTCTTTACCTTGATTTAGAACTTCCCGCATGGGCATGTGGGCATATTCTGTGCATTATTAGCCCCAAATAAATGGGAAGTTGTCTTTTGGGATAAAAATTAATAATTAAAGTATATATTGGGACTTTTTTGGTTAAGAGCTATTATGAATCAGTCAGTATGCATTTGATGTTTAATACACAGTAGTACTAAAAATGGGTTCTTTAACAGAATTAAATAAAATTATTTAATGAAAACCTAATTTAGAGATGGAAGTCATAATGGAATTTGTAATATAAATTTTCTTTACCTCTTTTTATATTTTACTGAGATGTTTCTATGGCCTCCTGGTTTACATGTGTGTTAGTGAACCAGGGAATGCCTCTCTTCCTCATGGCATAACTTTCTGCTACACCTTCTCTCTCCAGACCCCAAATCTAAAAAAACATATCCTTATATAACTAATACAATTAATTGTGCTTTTTTTAAAAATAAAAAACATGGGAAGGATCAGTTATTTTCTTTAACATATTATTGTGTTCCTATCCAGATTTTTATCTTCTATAACAATAAATAACATAATCAAAATATTATGAGTTTTTTCATTAATCTGGCAAGAATGAATTGAAAACTTTTTGTGTGTGTCAGACACAGTACCAGGTGCTGGAAGTATAGGCATGAATCAAATGGAGTCCCTGCCCAGCTATGTCTCAGTAAGGTTTCATTTTGTAGGGTCTTGTTTCCTTTTATTTATATTTAAAAGTAACATCAGACTCAAAAGTGATGATGCAATTACTTTTACAAAATGTTATACTTTATTAGGATTCACAACTATTTGAGTATTATGAAGCCTTCTGATATAAAGTAGTATATGTGATGTGTCTTTGATTTATTAAATTCTGTGCCATTTGAATTTTATTGAAGACAAGGCCATGATATGTATTCATGAGAGAACAAAACAAGCCACTTGGTAATTTGCAAATGAGTTGCTAGTTATCCATCTACTGATGTTATTTATTTAATCTTAGCAGTCATCAATGACCAACTAGTCAGAATTAATAAAATATTTAAACCTTAAAGTAACTAGAATTCATTCATATGAAACTTTAAAAATATATCTCTGCTCTTAAAGATACATATACACATACGTATACACAAAGATATATATACATTTTTTAGAGCCCTATTTCAAAAATTGTTTTATGTAATATGATTAACTTGTGAATGTAGGTGAATGCATGTACAATGAAATCAGTGCTTCACAGATACTAGCATTTAGCAGTGACATTCAGAAAACCATTAAAAGACCGCACAGAGAGAGAGACACAAACTTATAAACATTCTTTTTATTGTTATTGAAGCTTAAGTGGGAGTTGATTTACAATCATAGGCTTTGGATCAAGGTAAGTACCAGGACCATGGCTGCACAATGACTTAAATAGAAAATTCATAGTTGCCAGGAAAATGAGCCTCCCAGTGTCCTGGGTAGTTAGAGACAAAGATGTTGCCAGAGACAGCTGGTCCTTTCTCTCCCTTCGTTGAGGATGTGACCATGGTGCTGAGCTTTGCTCAAGGACCAGAAGTAACTAATATTTCAGAACATCCCCATGAGCAAAAGGGCATAAGATTTCTTCACAAGGTCAATAGAGTAGCAAGAGTGACCTGTTTGTTCAACTGTGGAGAGACTCGTGCGTGGAGAGGTCAGCTGCTCGCCATCAGGACACAGATGCAGCGGAGGTGCAGGGCCCGAGACAGCTAAGACAAGACGTGCTGTCTGCCCTCCAGTTCTAGAGTCACCCACTTGTGCTGAGTTCTGCTGCTTTGGCCAAATAAAGCAGGAAATTATACCTGGTCTGTATGTCTTTAGTCTTTTCCAACCAATCCATAACTTTCATGGGATGCAATGAAAGTAGAATCCAGTGAGTTCTGGGTGCATAAATTAATTTTAAAATGAAAATGTTTTAAAAAGTACAGCTTGAGGAAATTATAGCATTCTCATTTATTTTACACGTTGGCAACAATCAGCCCTCATTTTTCTAATGAAATGCATTGTATCATGTATGATAGCTGTAATTTAATTCTTAACTAAGTTAATTTATGTCTAGAAAGCAAAATTATTTTGGATTATTATTGTCATTTCATGAGTGATTGTTACTTCTAAACTAATTACCTGAGCTAATTGGCATTCATAATTTGTTTACCACAATGTATTCATCCACCACATTGAGACTATGGGAGATGTTTTTATCACCTCAAGCCCACTGATTTTTGCAGGCTCTAAAGAGAAATGCGTTCTTCACCTCTCAAAGTGGTTGCAAAAAAAACAGTCTCATGATCTTGATTTTCTCTCTTGAGCTGCTTCACACACTTTATATTGAAGTTGTAAATTTCAGAGATACATTTTACCCTAAAAAAATATGATCTGTAAATATCAACACTGATTTATTTTAGTCAACAATTATTCTATGAAATATACAACTTTTGATGTTGCACTTACTGATGGTTCTTACTAAAGTGATGAAAATATATTTTTTTTCTGGTTTCCTACAGATGCATATACAACCTCAGAGGTCACATATATTTGGACTTACAATGCCTCTGATTCAGTCCAAGTTGCTCCTGATGGCTCCAGGTTAAATCAGTATGACCTGTTGGGCCAATCAATTGGGAAGGAAACAATTAAATCCAGTACAGGTTAGTAAAATGAGTCTAAAGAAAAGTTAGTTCCTAAGAAACTTAATGGGCTAAAGTCATTGGAAATGACTCAGTAGGCTTAAAAGCTTTTGCTCTTGAGGTTACAAAAGCCAGCAGCATAGACTGTGCTTGGGGGCTTTTTCGAAATTCAGAACCTGAGGCCTGGCCCCTTATTAATTTAGGATCTGTATTTTAACACGATTCCAAGGAGATTTCTTAGGTGTGCTTTCAAGTTTGAGAAACATTAGTCTAAAATATACTTCATATTAAAAAAGTGTGTGTCTTCTCAGACAAGTGAATTTTACCTTCAAATAGTGTTGCCATTTCCCTAGTGTTCTAATTCCTTTCCCTTTATTCTAGATAACTTACTACGATTCAACTCTTGATGTGCAGCTAATTACTATTGGCCTGTGTGGGGAAGCTGATGTCCTTTCTAAGGCCACCTTCCCCTAAGAAAAAGCAGCTTTGTGCATTAATGTGCTTACATCAAGCAGATGTAAAGCTGGAGAGCAGGAAGGAAAGTAGTGAGGATGGGATAGATCTGACTGCAGTGAGTAAGAACAGACATACAGCATCGAAAAATCCAAAATTGGTGACAGGGTCAGCAGTGGGAAATCTGGGCGAGGTCAGCCTTGGAGATGAGGCTATTGATCAGTACTTTAAAAAGCTAAAGAGCACTGAACTTGAGGTTGGTACCAGTGGAGATGAAGGACCTGACTAGGTAAAATAATTTATGGCCAGAGAGCGTTTATTAATCCTGTACTCCCTTGGTCTATAAGTATGACCTAGAGAGAAAAACAGATACCATACCATAGACATGCAGAGCAAGTTTCTTGGTAATATTAAAATCTTCTTTTAAATATTCTTGCTATGCTAAGGAGGCATTTAAAAATTATACAATTTCCATGTCATATATGTGATAAATTCTTTTTTAAAATCAGAAACTGTCTTTTCCCTTCCATTTCCAAAATGTGCAAAACTATTGGCTATTACAGTTTCTTAAGCTTCTTAAATTTTTCTTCTAGGTGAATATACTGTAATGACAGCTCATTTCCACTTGAAAAGAAAAATTGGGTATTTTGTGATTCAAACATACCTGCCTTGCATCATGACTGTCATTCTCTCCCAAGTGTCATTCTGGCTTAACAGAGAATCTGTGCCTGCAAGGACTGTATTTGGTGAGTGAGTAGCTACACGCTTCCTTGTCCAGCACATTATGTTTCATCACATACTTCTAAAGCGTTCTCTCTCTTGCTCCTCACACCAGTGATTTGTGGTGTGTGGGGCAGGGAGTATTGGCTTCATGTTATAGATGAGAAAACAGGCTCAGAGAGGTAAATTACAGAGTCAGTGCCACAGTGCTAATAAGGAATGTAAATAGTACTCAAATCTTCTGGAAATATTCAGTCTACTTTCTATTGAATCATTTTACTACTTAATATTTGTCTCTATGTTAGTATAAGGAGAATATTATTAGAGGTTTTAATTTGGAGTATAAGAGCACCACATTTCTAGGCTTTCTATGTTTATTTTTTTTTGTTTTTAGATAAACGAAGATGATTTTGACACTTTACGTTAGTGAGTGAAAGGGAGGGAAGAGAGAAAGAGAGATCCTCAGGTACTACCATTAGTGCGTTTAATTACAAAATTGTCTTTCTTTTTTAAAAATTTTGTATATGTTTATATTTATTCCACACCATATTTCAAAAAAGATGTGAGGTACCTTAAAATGTATAAACAAGAGGTTGTAAATAAGTTTTTATATAATGCAAAGAAAACTAAAGGCTAAAAAGTAAAATAGAAGGTTATGGTACCTAATATTATGCCTCGAGCACTTTATCCTTACTGCAATTCATGTGCATTGTCCCATTTGATTCTTTTTTAAAATTTATCTTTATTGTTGAAAGTATTACAGATGTCCCCCTATTGATCCCCTCCACCCCTCATCGACGCCCGCCCCAGGCCTTCCTCACACTATTGTCTGTGTCCATGGGTTGTGCATATATGCACGGAAGTTTTTTGGTTAATCTCTCCCCACTCACTCCCCCACCCTCACCTTCCCTCTGAGATCCCTCAGTCTGTTCCATGCTTTTATGTCTCTGGATCTATTTTGTTTATCAGTTTATTTTGTTCACTAGATTCCACATATGCGTGAGATCATGTGACACTTGTCTTTCTCTGACTGCCTTATTTCACTTAGCATAATAGCATCCAGGTCCATCCATGCTGTCCCAAAGGGTAAGGGGTCCTTTTTTTTTATAGCTGCATAGTATTCTCTTGACACAGTCACAAAAATTGAAAACGCTAGGCATAATTAATCTGATTTTACAGATGAGTAAACTGTGTTATACAGAGCTTAAATCATCTTCACAAGTAAAGAGTGGCTGAGACCAGATCTAAATTTCCTAACTTCTAGCCCAGTGCTCAGTTTCTGACGCTCTAGATGCCAGGGCTGGAGAGACCCAGGGAAAGCAGGGATGGCTCACTGAAAGCTTTTTCGGTCTGCCTTGAGGTTTAATTCCTTCTGCTGCTTGCTGGCTCCCCAGAGCCCTTGCCAGAGCTGATTCCATCTTCCATTGCTCCACCTCACCTCACAGAGTCTCACTGAGACTTGCTTCTTAAGTAGCATAGTCATTCTATGCATTTATTGTGAAAATCGCCCAATTGGGTTTTCAGGTCCCTCAGGGACTAATTCTTGGCCAAGTAAGGACCAGCTGAGTGTCTACATTTAGAATCAGACATATGTACGTTAAGGCAAATCATGAACCAAAGGTCGTAATTATAGGGAATGATGTTTTGTTCTCAATAAAATAACAACAGGGCTATCTGTACCCAGAGTGGACTCAGTGTGTGAAGGGAGGCACTGGTATGTGGTAGGCTCCCATCCCTGTAGCAGTTTCCATACAGGCTTGGTGCCCACTTGTCAGGGACAGACTGGGTTGGGCAGGGGTCTCCTTGGCCACTACTAGTTGGATTAGATGCCTCTGACTCTGCTTCTAACTCCCCTGATTTTAGGGAGACACTTCTTTTTTCGCCTTTTGTTACAAACATTTTACTATAGATAAATAAATAAATATTGGGTTAAAAACCAATTAAGTACATTTACACAATGGAACACAACTCTGCGATAAAAAAGAAAGAAATCCCACTACCTACAACAGCATGGGTGGTCTGGAGAGCACCGTACCAGGTGAAATAAACCAGCCAGAGAAAGACAAACCTCCACAACCCCACTCTTATGTAGGATCTAATGAACAAACAAACAAAAACCAAACAACAACAACAAATGTGGGCTCTTTCCATTCGAGACCATGAAGTATTTGCCCCTTATTAGTGTGCCCCTGTAGCTGCCCCTTGCGATGTCTTCCTCTTGCATTAGGGCCCGGCTGGGACTCTCTCATGACAGTAGCTGCCTCTCAAGATACTAGCTAGGAAACTGCCTCTGGCAATAGCTTAGCGGTAGAATATCTGACTGTAGATCAGGCGGTCCCCAGTTCAAATGTAATTTTCTTCATTTAAACCAGACAGGAAAATTTGGATATATGAACGAGGCTGAGCACATTTTGTGATAAGATAAATTACTTTTGTGTATTTGGACCACTCAGTCATTTAGAAAAGTTTTACTGAGAATCTACTATGGCAGATCCTGCATCAGGCCCTAGAGTGGAGGGCAACCAAATAAGCAGAAAAGATAATGGCAACCCAAGGTACAGATGTTATAAAAGAGGCATAGGCAAATTATTATGAAAACAGCAGCATAGATCATCTCTAGAAGAGCTGCTTAAGTAGTTGAGCTAACATTTGAGCTAAATCTTGAAGGATGAGTAGGAAATTCTCAGACTGATGAGTGGAGCAAGAATCCTAGCCAAAAATCATAGATTGTGTAATGAAATGACGTCAAGGAATGAAAGTACATAGTGTGTTTGGTGACAGTGAGTTGTTTCAGTGCCAGTGGAGATATATACAGAGAGAAGTGTAGTTTAAGGACTAGATAAGAAAGACCTTGTAGGCCATGTCAATACGATTTACCTTTATCGTGGAAGCTCTAGGAAGCTGCTATAATGTTTTGAGACCATAGACATATGTAAAGCTCTTAGAATGACCCTGGTATTTAACATGTGCTGTGTACCTGTTAGCTATTCTTATTATCAATGCCAAAATATCAGTTTGAGTCTCATCATTAGCACAAAGTAATTCAAAAGGAAATTAAGAAAACAATTTACAATAGCATCCAAAATAATAAAATACGCAGAAATAAATTTAACCGAGTAGCTGAAAGACTTGTTCACTTAAAGCTATAAAACTTGAAAGAAATTAAAGAAGACCTAATTAAAGGAAAGCTATCCTATGGTCATGGATTTGTAGACAATACTGTTAAGATGAGATTAGTCCTCAAGGCAATCTACAGATTCAATTCAATAATTATCTGAAGTCAAAAAAGACCTTTTTTACATGAAGGGGAAAGCTGATCCTCAAATTCATATCGAACTGCAAGGGGGCTCCAAATAACCAAAAAATATGTTTTTAAAAATTTAATTTAATTTTCTTACTGTTGACACGATTGCAGATGTTCCCCATCCCACCCCCCTTTGACAATATTGATAAAGCAAAACAAAGTTGGTGGACTTTCCAGTTTCAAAACTTAGTACAAATCTACTTTAATCGACAGTGTGGTAGTGGCATAGGCGTGGATGTGTAGACCAATGGAATATAATTTAGAGTCCAGTAGCAAACTCAAATATCTATGGCAAACTGATTTTCAGCAAGGGCGCTGTGACCATATTATGGAGAAATAGAGGTCTCTTAATTAAATATTGCTGGGGAAGCTGGATGACCACCACATGCAAAAGAATGAAATTGGAACCCTACCCTAATCCAGAAGCAACAATGAACTCAAATGGATACAAAACTTTAATGTAAAATCTAAAACTAGAAAACTATTAGAAGGAAATATAGGATACACCTTTATGACCTTGGATCCAGCAATGATTTCTTAGATTTGACACAAAAAGCATGAGTAACAAAGAAAAAATAGGTACATTGGATTTCATTAAAGTTAAACATTTTGCATCTCAAACATTATCAATAATATTAAAAGACAACTTCTATATGAGAGAAAATATTGAAAATATTTTGTGAGTCCTATATCTGACAAAGATTTGATATTTGATATCCTGAATAAATATAGAACTCTAACAACTGAAAAAAAAAGACCAAAAACTAGTTTTCAAAAAAACAACAACAAAGAACTTGAATGGACTTTTTACAAAAGAAGGTATACAAATGGCAAACAGCACGTGCATGGTGTTCAGTATCATTGGACATGAAGGCAATGCAATGCAAACTGAAACCATAAGAAAATGCATTTTATACACACTGGGGTCTATCATAATAATACAAAACAAAACAAAATGGAATTAAGTGTTGGCAAGGTTATGGAGAAATAAAAACTCTCATATATTGCTGGTGGAAATGCAAAAATGGTGCAGCATCTGTGGACAGCGTTGAGCTGTTCCTAAAATAGGGAAACATAGAATTACCATATGACCCACCAATTCCACCTCTAGCCTGTACCCAAGATTAATGAAAACATATGTTCACATGAAAACTTATACACAGATATTTGTGGCAGCATCATTCCTAATAGTTAAAAGGTGGAAGGGACCCATATTTCCATCGGCAGATGAATGGATAACCAAAATGTGGTATATACTTCCCATGGAATATTATTTATCCATGAAAGGGATTAAGTTCTTACCCATGCTCCAACAAGATGAATCTCAAGAACATGCTAAATAAAAGAAACCAGAGTTAAAAGGTCACATACTGTATGATTCCTTTCATATGCATTATTCAGAATATTTAAATCTGTAGAAACAAAAAGTAGTTCGGTGGATGGAGGCAGAGGGGAACAGGAAGTGATTACTTAGTAAGAGCAGGGTGTTCTTCGAGGCCAGGGTGGTGAAAACTAGAGAGAGGTGGAGATTGCTGGACATTGTGAATGCACAAATGCCACTGAATTGTATACTTTAAAATGGTGAGTTGTATAATATGTGAATTTAACCTCTGTAAATTAATTTTGAACTATCCTGAATTGAAAAAAACTGCACTGAATATGCACAATAAAGGGTCCCAGGATTTAGACACAGAAATGGTCTCAGATACCTATTTCAAAATT